GGGTTTGTTGATAAACAAGGTTCAATGTGGCCTGGTGACCAATGTTGGCCATCGGACTGTTACGACTCGACTTCCACTCAGATGATTTCGGAAGAGCGATAGAGAGAGAGGGAGAGAGAGAGAGAGAGAGAGAGGGGGGGGGGGGGGGGCGGAGGAGAGGGGGGAGATCCTAGAGGTCTATGACAGTGCTGGGAAGTGCTGGCCATCGGTGTGTGACGAAACGACTCACATAGAGGTGATCCTCTGAGAAATTACCCGTCCCATGTCATCATTCCTCTCTTCACCGTGCACGAACGCAGAAACAAACGAACACAAATGGCCTATATGATGAGTTTACGTTGGAAAGATCATTTATGGAGTTTTGGCGAGAGTGATTTTCCAACATTCATTTGCTCGATGAATCAATGGATCATTCCATGAGCAAACAACCGATCTGTCAACAGATCCATCATACTGTGACCTCTATGTTCGTCAATCCGATGATTGTTTGGATGACAGACCCTTTGATTGATTGATAAGTTATTTGTAGCTATGAATTGTCGCCGGAACCAACTTGATTATCTGACCTTTGGTTTGAAATTGCCTACGGACGTACACATGCTTATTTTGACACGCGCACGAACACCCACACACACGAACACGTACAAAAGCGAACACGGGCACACAACCCTGCCAAGATGAGCGACAATCAACCAGTCTATCAATCAAAAGATCGTAAACAGTCTATCAATCAACAGACTAATAGATGGCACGATAATCCACCAATGGATCCATACCTTGCTTTTTTTTTTTGCAGTGGTGTGGGTCGTCGATTGGTCGATTCGTAAGTTCCAAAGACACTCTGTTGGTAAGATGGAGTGAAGGGAATGAGGGAAATGATAGGTTGGTCGAGTAGTGGATTTGAGAAGACGTACATGAACAAGCACTCGACAGATAACATGAACGACAATCAATCGGTCGATCTCTCAAGAGATCACAAACGATCAGTTGATCTGTCGACTGATTGATTGGTCAAGCAGAACGTATCAAGGATCGTTCGGTTGATCATACGTTTGATTTGTCGACAGGCACGTGGACACATGCGCATAGAAGGGCACACACACACAACCACGATGGTCCCGTTCGATTCAGGGAGTGAATAGTAAATAGAGTCGATTGACACACACATGACCATAAACGTGTGCACACGTCAGCAAACGCAAGTGATTGCATTGCTGATTGGAAGGCCACTGTGCTCTGTTTTGACTCTGTCGTCATATACTTCTTCGTTCGATTGTGGGACAGTCGATCGACCAACTGATCAGGAAGAATTTGTTGATTGATTGAGTGATTGATATAATGAGTAGTTCGTGTTTCTCTTCTGGTTTGTTATGACCACCAGACATAGTCGCATTGCATTGATCATAACGACTGAAGTGAATGATGGGGTGATCGATTTTCGATTCCATGAACTCGACACGTGCAGACAACCATGAACAAACACGCTTGGTCGTTGAATGACGAGAGAGATGATGTGGGGCACGGCGATCAGGACGCAAAAGGTGCTTGAAGATGCAAGCAAGCGTGGGCGTGCGTGGTGAGGATCTATGTGGTGGTTGTGACAACAACTAAGGACGTGCGTCTCCTGTGTTTGATATGAGTTGCGGTGATAGCGTAGAGCTTTTCCACGACGCTTGTGATAGCGATGGCGCCAATCACCGCGAATGACGGGCGATGGTGTTGACGATAGTGAGAGTGTGGTATGTATGTCCGACGGCATCACCCTAGTGAAATGAGAAAAGGCAGCATGAGCGTTGGGGGGGGGGCGGCTCTGTTTATGGGCTCTTACAGCTCCGGTTCGGAGCGGGCCCTCGGCTCATATTCAAAGGCATTTTTCGATGTCGAAATCGGGTCGTCGTCACGTCTGCATGCTTGCGGTAGTGACAACCGTGGTGTTATCGGATTCGATCATCGACTCCTGTTCAACGAAACGACAGGAGTATGGTTGTGATCCAGAAAGCGGTCCTCAAACCGACACCTCAGAACGCCCCCACAAGCAAATTTTCTCCATGCGCTAGGCGAGGCCTTGATGCGTGCGGACGAAGGGGTGTGAAATTCAATAGTCGCCACAAACAACGAAGGTGAGGACCTACGAAACACCCTCGGCGGCGGACAAGCGCGGCCGATCCGCGGCCGCGGCCGAGTCCGCACGGGACTTTGTGGCCGTGTTGC